GATCCGAAATTTTAACACCGATGTCATACCGGTTCTTCAATATTTGTCAACAACTTGGCACCCACATTAAGATGCAAACTTCCATCACCAAGTTACCTCTCTGGATGGTGGAAAGAGGTCAGATGGCTTACGGGTAAGTGTGAGATACAATGAACTGTGGGAGGCCGTGAACCAACCAAGAAGCTGTTGTTCAATAAATGACTGGATAGAAATTCAGATGGATTGGACATGAGCTGAGTGGACTGTCAAGTGAAATCAGGCACCGGGATAATGGGAGGCGATGAGTTGTGTGTGGGTCCAAGGTCGACATGTCAGAGACTATGTGAGCGGGGAATGAAAGCTTGTGGGCAGTCATGGATCCAGGCTAAAATGACGACAGAGAATAAAATAGGATGGAGATATTCTACCTACGCCTTATGTTCCATTCAAAATGGAAGGATAGAATTATTGTTATTATTATTATTATTATTATCATTAATGTTATTATTATCGATAGTAATAATAATATAAATCCAAGGATTAAGCTCCTGTTGATTCACGTACTTTTGGTTTGTGAATCGGTTACTTTAAATGCATTTTTTATCTCTAATAATGGGAGGCCTTTAATTTAATCTGAAAATATGACCATTTTGAAGGATTAGTTTATTTCAAAACTTCTTGTTTCTTTTGTGTATTCACAGATTCAAATATCTGATATATGGTTATACTTCACCTGCAGTTTTTTACGGATATTATCAGATGATCACCTTAAAAGGATTGACTTCATTTTAATAAGCTACCAAATTATATAATACACCAAACTGTAAAATGTTAATGAATATTTGTCCCATCCTAAGGTCTCTGTGCAAATAATTTATGTGAGAATTAAAATATATGCGGTGACATGGAAAAATTGTCATCTTTTAAACAAAAGTGTCAGTGTGACATCGTTTTCTGAGGATGATTTTCTATGCTCCTTCTCTTACCATTACAAACAAATGCACTCTTCCTTCCTGACTGTTTGCTGTCCATCAAACAAATAAATCTGCTAATGCGCGTGCGTGAACTAAGTATGAAATCTGTGTACAAGCTAATATCATTTATTATACTGTTTATAAGAAAGACACTCTTCTATGAATGATCTCAGTAGAAGCAAAAGCAACTTGTAGTAACCGTTTATGTAATAATAACTTGCAATGTACCCGTGACAACAGAGTGACCACTGGAGAATAACTGAAATCTAAGAAAGAATAAATGACTTGATGGGCACTTTATCTGACTCTGATGGCACACACGTGAATCCCAGCAATTCTTTACACTTCTCAATGTTTCCAAACGTAATGATATTCCAATACGCAAGCATAAAATCAAAAAGCACTTGTAAAGTTCCGGGGATATTTATTGCCTACAACTTTGGATTCAAGACAGATACAGTTCTAGTGGATAGTGTTTAACCAACCACTCAGGCATAATGTCTTCCTGTTGAAAGCCGACTTGGAAGTGATAAAATTTCGGGATTACTGCGTAAACTGTAGGATTACGGTTAAGTAATAGATGAAAGGGAATAGCAACACTATTCATTCCAATTTCCAAATGCAATCTGTAAGAGAAATAGGAAAATAAATAGAAATAACCACGAAAATCCCAAAAGTTATTTCGATATTCAGTAAAAGACAAAGAATGAATGTATCTTGAAATTTATATTTGAGATGATTTGTAATACGGTTATATAGCCTATTAGTGAAAATTTGTTTGCCTAGCATTCTCTTTTATTAATTAACTATGGACTGTAAAAAGACTAGATATTCTATAGTGAATAAATATCTGCGTAACGAAAGAAGTATTCATCTCCATCACTCCTTCAGGCATTTTTTGCAAACTTGTTTCGTTCAACCACAATATAGGATTGTTGATGGAGGAAATCTATGTGTACAGTGTCAAAAGTCTAAAGCCTACAATTAATACCGAATCTCCGTTCCCAAGCAATCCAGAAAAATACGTATTCAATCTTTCAGACATCACACTATCTACTACCCAACTAGAGGCACTATCTCTAGGTCCGAAATTCTGCGTAAAACCACAATGTATTGACAAGCTACAATGCCAGATTCAGTTTGAAAATCTAATAAACCAAACCTACGATCTCACACCCACATCAGATGAAAACCTACAACAACTCAAAGCATCAATCCTCGACAGTTGTCACAAGTTTATAAATACCAAACCCAACGGAAGGTCCATTTTGACGAAGAGGCATTATAAGGAGCTGAAAGAACTTATGAAAAACGAAGAGATTATGATATTACGTCCTGATAAAGGCGGAGGAATCGTTATCATGAATCGTAAGGACTATATCAGTAAGATGCTGACTATACTATCCGATGAATGTAAATTCACAAAACCGGTCAACGAGAAAAACATGACTGAACAGACCGAACAAAAGCTAACGGACACCCTCCGTAAGCTAAAAACTGAATCTTTCATCAGCAACGAAACGTTTGAATCCATAAGACCATCCGGCTCAAATATACCACGACTCTATGGACTTCCGAAAGTACACAAGAACGGTATCCCTCTTCGACCGATCCTTGACATGACCAATTCGCCTTATCACCGCACAGCCCAATGGCTAGCAGATCTACTAGAACCAATCAGAAGACAAGTTTCCTGCCACACAGTTCGAGATTCATTCGACTTTATCGACTCAATTGAAAACATCAACGTATCCAACAGGACCATGATCTCATTAGATGTCACATCACTATTCACAAATGTTCCACTGACTGAAACAATATGCTATGTATGCGAACTTATTGATTCCAAAGGAATAAACATCGGTATACCCACCGAGCGTCTTAAAGAACTCCTTCTGAGGTGTACCCTGAATGTTCAATTCTCTTTCAACAACGAAATATATCGCCAAAAGGATGGTATAGCTATGGGCTCACCACTAGGCCCATTACTTGCAGATTTCTTCATGGCAAAACTCGAAAACACATGCATGAAGAAAATGATCGATACCTTCGGAATCTACAAGAGATACGTCGACGACACTTTCATTATCGTCAACAATGAAGAGAATCTAGACGACATCCTGAAGTCGTTTAACAAGTGCCACCCCGCAATTCAGTTCACGCTGGAGAAAGAGTCCAACTCTAAAATATCCTTTCTTGACATCCAACTAACAAGACGAGAACACGATGGAACACTGAAAAGATCTATCTACAGAAAGTCAACATGGAACGGACAGCTGATTAACTTCCACAGTTGGGTACCCCTATACACCAAACGGAACCTGATCCGTTCACTTAGCAACAGAGTTCGCAGAATTTGTACCCCGGACACCGTAGAAGATGAACTGGACAATCTCAAGAGAATCCTCGTCGAGAATTGTTACCCAGAACGATTTATTGCAAAATCTATGAATCCTAGGCCACAAAAGCCGCCCACGCATAGCGTCCCGAAGAAACCGCTCTACATAAACCTTCAATTCAATGGAGATATATCTGCGGAAATACTAAAAAATCGACTGTCGCGCTCACTCAAGAAGACTTTCTTCGCAGCTGAACTACGACTAACTTTCTCCACAAAACCTATGATTCATGTGAACGTGAAGGATAAGCTACCACTGTTGGCCTCATCAATGTGTATCTACCAATTCACCTGCTCGTGTGGAGCCAGGTATGTCGGCCGTACCCAGCGTTCGCTTTCCAAGCGTATCACCGAACACTTACCAGCATGGTTTTACAAAGGAGAAAAGCGATGTCCCCGCAGCTCCATCTTAGAACACCTGATAGAATCCGGACACCAAGCTGCACCCCAAACAAACTTCAAAGTCGTCTACAGAGTAAGAAGTAGTCTTCCAAAAGGTGTACGAATCAGACTTCTTCAAACTGCAGAAGCAATGGCGATTCACTTGCTAAGCCCTGAACTCTGCATACAGAAGAGGTTCGTTCAATCACTAAACTTACAATGGACTTAACCTACATTATTACCTGAAAGGTAAATTCTACCTAATTTTTTTTTTCTGTCTCTTCATTGGTATTATTCTGTCTTCTCAATTGTAATATTTTGCATTTTCAACTTTCTTGTCTCTACCCCTACCCGATTTAATTTCTACACCTCACTACCACTTTAATTGACCTGACCAACGCTCAATTTATAGTCATTTATGTTACGTCATCCAACTTAATTGCTCAATTTCATTTCTAATCTAAATGGCATTATTATCTACCCCACTTCTACTTAGTCTCTACCTGTAATTACCTCTGTTGCTAACCTGACCTAAGTTAAAACATTTTAGTCAATTGTATTACGTCATCTAACTTACTAACTCAATCTTAATTTAGTTGCTGTCCAATTAACTTTGTTTCTATATTAGATCATTCTTTTATTACCTGATCAATTATCTAATTTTGACAAACCTCATGTACACACACACACTCAAATAATTATATATAAATGCGATTGTACAGCTATGTGAATGAATTCGCCGAAAAGAGTCTCTTCGCTGAACGTCTTCTCTTTTTCATATGACTAAATGGGGATTTTCAAGATACTCAAACAAGTGAGATATTGACATGACAGATATACAGAAGAGTCAGTGGATCTGTTTCGACTCACAATAACTGTAATTACAGCGGATTATGCACATTTTTACAAACAAGAGAATAAGCAACCCATAAGTGATTTTTGTTTGGTGTGCCTATTACATAATCATACAGTTCAACTACTGTTATTGGTACGTTTATTTGCAGTTATGTTCTCAAGTGTACAGACATAAGTGGATGTTGGTAACTTGAGCATGATGTTTCAGTCTGTGCGTATAATTAACCGAACTTTTTGAGGATATATTAATTAAGACAACTTGTAAATTAGGAAACATATTTGACTAGTTAAATCAACCATGTTTCACAGAATAAATATTTAAACCTATGTAGGTTTTAAAGAATCTTGAAATCACCATTTAACAATTAACTATTACATAATTAGTAGTGTATAGACATTATTGAATGGTGTGCGTTTATCTTGTAATAATTAGGTAACAGGAATCAATACATCTTGTCTACCTCTGTTTATTCTTTTCACGTACAGGTCGATGATTTCCGAGAAATCATCATAAAAACGATACACTGTAAGTTTAAGAATTTATTAAATGGTTCGACTTAAATTCCAGATAGAACGTATCATGCACACTTTACCGTATGAGGTAGTAAATATTTAACTCATCTAGTAGGAGATAAAAGCACTCGTACGAAGTACATGTTGATTACAGCTACAGGTTTTATTGATCTGCGTACGTTTGAAACGATGGTAGCGATAATCTTATAAGAGTGTAGCAGTAGCAACCGACTCTAAGCTTCTGAGGTGGTTTATCCAGGTATCCAAATCAACAATTTAAAGCGTTAATTGTAAACTGAAACCCAAGCCAGATATAAATTCTATAAAACACAAAGAAGTAGGTTTTTTTAGATCAGTTTATAATTTATGAATAAAGACTTTCTTGGAGTAGCATTGTACTATATATAGAATGTTATTTTTAAGCAAAATTACTGACTACAAAATCATAAATAGTAAGTCCTGCGCATTCGTACAACTGTATCAATTAATTTCCTGGAACACAAAGTAATCTGAAACCCGTAATCATTTTCGAGATGAGAAGTCATCAACCACTTCTTTTGGTAGGCATGAGATATAAGCTGGAAGCCAATCAGCGACGGGAGTAGCAAGTATGCCTCTGACATTTTCATGTTCTGTATTCAAGCTATAATTGTACGGTTGTCCAAGTATATCTGTCAGCTTGCCTCCAGATGCCAGGAGGACAGCTTCTGGAGCGCACGTATCCCACTTTTTAGTTCCTTGGCTAGGGAAGACGTAAACATGACCACGGCCTTCAAGCAACATAAGGACTTTGTAACCGCATCCTCCAGCACAAACGCTCTGTAAAAAAATGAGTGAAATATGTAACAAGGTATCTCCTCACCAAATGAATTAATAGACAGTCAAAGTAGAAATAAAAGAAATTCAAGCAGTAAATGTCAGGCACAACCAGTATTCTTTCTACTGTGAATTTAAAAACCATGAGGTGAAGAGACTATAACCCAGATCTCACATTTCCTGATTCCCAGTATACACCTTGCAGTTACCAGTACGGATACAAAAAGCCCATATGACATCTACTAACTTGCATCATCTTTGGCTCAGACAGGGTATCCATCGACCTATTAAAGTACGTGACTGCTGTGCAGCTGTTCTCTTAGTCCCACTTCCTGCCTCTGAGACACGGTGGTTAGAGTTGGAGTAAGTGGAAATATAAGCTGTTTGTGACCAACAGTATTTCCGTTTAATCCCTGGTTTCAGGTCCAGCAATATAGTTAGCAATAATGAGGTTAGGCGTAGAACGTTAGATAAGAAGGAAAAGTCAATTGATGAGGTTTAGAAGCTCCATAGACTGTGATGGAGTGAACTCGCGTTACACACAGCTAGCCACTGATTTTCTCAAAGATCAATGTTATTTGGAATAGGGATAGACTAGAAAACAGTTAGGAGTATTAAGACCAATATATAATGTCAATCCACGAAATCACTAACTGTTAGTCTGTAGATTGTGGTTAGTGTCTTCGCGAAGCTAAGAATCAGACTGCTGGTGACGTAGCTGAAATATTTTTTTACAATGGTGAGAATGTATTGACTCCTGGGTATCTTAGACATTCTGAAAATTCTCACTACTACTCTTCATATGTTTTTTTCTTCTCAGGCAAATTTTATTTTATTGTAATTTTATTGTATTTCGTGTTTCGACTTATATGTGTGATTCACCGAATTATAGAGAATTTTTGTGCTAAGCTTTATGGTGACAAGCCACTGGGGTTTTTAAACTAATAATGCCTTTGATTCAAACAATATGTTTGACACCATTTGGATATTTTAGCACTTTCATATAAGTATGTTCTGAAAGGAAAGGGCATAATATTTTGTATACTATGGTTCTTTTTTACGAATTATTCAAAATCCGACTAATGGGTCACAGTCTCTAATTGATCACATTTTATATCAATATAAACTATATTGAATAATATAGCAAGAGATTGGACAGTCAGTAACCCACAAAAGTAGAATTTTCCAAGTCCCATTCATACTTTTGTATAACAAAACGGAAAAGTTTTGACTGAAGGTTCTTACGATTTTTAAGATTTGACTAGTGACAGCTATAGTACGATACTGGCTACCCGTTAATTAAAGGTAGGTTTACTCAGTCCCTTCATCCAGGAGGTCAGTCACATTCTGGATATCTTGCTGACAACACCACTGCTGCTGACTGCAGGACTAGATGAAGTCGGTTTATACATTCCCATGTTCACCTGTACCTCCATAATGTCTGTCTCTGTCTGTCTGTTTTCGACATAGAACTTTGCACAAATGTGCGGAAGTTCAAGTCGCCACATTCCGTGTAGCACGCGAAGCAAGAGAAGAAAGTACAAGAAAAGCATAATAGAAACAGTGAGCACAGGTGTGAGACAAAGGAGTAATAAAGAAATACAAAACAGTTTCATTGAAGATCATAAGTCACAGGGAGTGGATGCATCTGCGCCACTGAGAACGATTTTGAGCCATGTCACCAATTGTTTCCAACCATAGATTTTTACCGTCCCGAGGACCCCAGCCTGGAAGTCTACATCTTCCTACATGGCTTAGACCAACTGTTGTGGATTTCATTGACTGATGCCAAGTTTTTGTTTGACCGCCGCTAGCTTTTTTCCAGCCTGACCCTATATCCGCTAACATTGCTCGTCGAGGGAGGGTCATAGAGCAAGGAATCTAACCATTCAAGGTTAAAGTCCGTATGTTTTGATATCTAGGGAAAGAAAATCTTCATATCTCACAAGGTTATAAAGAAAACCATGTTGAGATGTAAGTTAAGATCAGAGCTGATGCGTGTTAGTAGTTGGTCAGATTAAAAAGGAAACTAAGGGCCATATATATATATATAATATACTAAGTTTTAATGAGTGCACTTATACCACGAATTCTAAATAATAATGGGAAATGTATTTGTGCTCACCTCGGTGGGGTAGAATGCCTTGATTACAGTATCATGAGTAGGAGATCGATGAGATCGGGTGACCACAATGGAATGTGGCAAAGATAGTTTTGGAGCATTTAAATCGATCGGATATGGCAATTGTGAAGAAGGCAGTGAGGGTTTTACTCCAAATACTCCGACATCCGAAAGTCCCCAAACAACACGAGTTATGTAGTGTGGTTTTTTCGTGTCTTCAACTGAAGTGGGCTGGTAGAAAGGCTGAGCTACTACACCACCTACAGGTTTACCTCCAGCTGCAATGCCAATAAGGACTGTAACGTACTCCACAAGACCCTAAATTTAGAAGAACGATATACAATTGCACTATTACTTCCAACAGAAACTAATACTGACTTTAATCGCATTAACTTAAACACAGTATTCACACGTAAATCAACGTACCTCGGTAAATTCTTTTGTACCATCCAGTGGGTCTACCCAAACTACTAGATCATCTGTTGATAGGGTACTCAACCATGGAGGGCATTTGTGCTGAAGAACCTCTGGACTTAGTTCGCTATACTGAGGAACATTCCCAGCGTCTAATTCTCCTTCTTCACCTAAATTTTTCTTTAAATTATTAAATCAATATCATAAATACCAATAATATGAAGGCCTGGGAAGGTGTTATTCAGAGATTGCACGATGCACCTTTGGGAATCCCTATCAGCTCTAGACTGAAAATCATTGACTCCTTTATCAATAATTGCAAGGTCCTTGGAGGCATACACTGTACGAATTAGAGAACTGGCCTTCTCTGCTAGACATACAGAAGCAGCAAGCACACGGATGACAAGGGGAGCTTCCATACTTCTTTAGAATGGAAAGAATATGAATTCAAATAAATCCCCATGGTGATAATCATGTTTATATGAGGCTGTTAGGAAACAAATTCAGATGATTTATCAAAAGTTCTTACAAAAATAAAAGGAACTATGATGCAGTGTAATACGAACCACATGCATGCAAAAATGTGCTCTCATTCGTTTTCACAGATAAAGTTTACTTCCTAACAAAGTTTGGGTGTGATAAGCAGGTGGACTATATATATATATTAAAAACGTTGCATACTGACTTACCTACTATAGAGTGATTACTTTCATGTGGCGTATTAGTATCTTTAATGTGAACTTGTTATTATTTTACTTAATAGTCTATGACGACTGCCGCTTGCTCACATTTTGGAGGTTGATTCCTGTTTTAAGTATTTAAAGGAGACAGAGAATGTGCTACCTGACCGCAAACACCACACAACAGCCGTTTGAGGCCAGTAATACGCCGCCTTTATGGAAGTGCATCTGTTTTGTACAGAAGACTTCGGTATCGTCTATGGACTACCACAAGGTAAATAAGGATATACAGTTTTGGGGGTTGAGCTTTTCTCAGTTCCGTTTTGCAGCGCGGTAAAGGCACATAGCTAGTTTGCTATTTTTACCGAGAGAAAAAATTCGCCCTTATTCGCCAGCAGTACTACCTCATCCTCAAAACCCCCGCATAGTGTGAATAACTCGTGACGATAACCGCCCTTAGTCTAACCACTATCCAAGTTATCTACCCAATGGTAGGACCTACACGGACATTCGTTCCAGTCAGTATAGCTCTTGGGTCATTGTAATATACAGACGTGACCACCAAGTCAAGGCATCAGCTAATAGTCAGAAGAATGATAAGTAATGTAAGTCTTACAAGTGGCAAACACAGCTTTCAATGGTTATCGAGTTGTGTTTTATGACAAGGCTGACAGTAATGAGGTAATCAAAGGTTGTGCAGAAGACGGTTGAAGTGCATATTACTATTAGATAACCTTCCTAGGCCATTTCAGTCACGTTTTCTCCTTCATTGGAAAACAAAATCTATTCAACCTTTACAACAGTAACATCCTGAGGATAAAAATAGTGCTCAGAAAGTTTTTACAACTACTCAAGAACTTAAATTCCGGCAAATATGATATTTTAAAAACACAGAACTTCCATATATTACTACCTTTAGTGCAGCTTGCTATCTTCTTTTTCAATGTCAATAAATTGGAAACGAGACTGGAGAGAGAGGGAGAGATTTGAGTTGAGCCTCGTTGTCCGGCTTGATAATTATAACTACTACACTGATTGCAAAGTTGACCAACTCTACTCACTAGACTCATAACTACTACCTTGATGTGGTTTATATCACAATGACTGGATGAATTATATTTGCTAGGAGTAATACTTTAGATTCTACTATGCCTTAAAATAGACTAGATTGCAGTTAAATTAAAAACAGCAAGCTGTTTACCCTGTGATGGGAGAGTTTTTCCGAATATAACAACACTGAGATGTGTCCTTTGGATAACCAGCAAGTCAAACATACTGTCTTCTGGCAATAGGGAATGCAATCTGACCTAAATTACCTTATGGCGACAAGATTCCCAGTACAGACGAAATTCTCCGAAACCCACCTCGAAAAGACAGCGTGTGGCTCTCCTCAGGCAGTTATTTCCTGGGCTTTGAAGGCATATAAAACTAGACCTTTTCTCTCCCAGGTGTTCAAAGAAACGGGGAGATAGACACAAAGTTTCTGCGTTTAGGGAGTAGTATCTTCTTACATTCCTCACGCTGTTTAAACTATAACACAGGTAGCTTCACCTTCTCCTAATACTGAGACCATTGCTAGAGAGTTAAGTGAAAGAAATTACTTAAGACCATGCCGGCATTTTTATACTGGAGCCCTCAACAATCGAATATTGTGCTTAATCGGACAACAGGATTCATTTACCAAAACTGTGACATGTGTTTCATGCCCTAGACACACTTTCAATGACATTCATTTCACAAGTAGCAAGGGATTCTTTGGCTAGTTGTCACCGGCTATCTGTTGTAGGTGATTTACTAAGCTCTAAAATAAAACTCACTAATCAACTGCACCCCAATAGATACTCTAGAGTGTGCTATTTAGCTGAATGGGTCTCTACGAATAAAAATATTAGCATTCATCGTTGCCTTTTCAGAATCTTCCTTTACACACTGACTACAGTTTGAACCAAATAGAGGATGTCTAATTAAAATCTGTCGAGTTTACTTTTAAGAGCAAAGCACTCAGATGTATTTAACCCAGCTGGGAACTCTAATGCTGAAGTAAGGAATCTGAACCAATCAGAATATAATACTAGGTGTATATATAGAGTTATAAGGATACACTGTTTTACCGGGTGACTCGATAAAAAACGAATGGTAGAGCATTTTAGGGAACACCTGTACGGATTCCGAAAACGCAGTAGTCAGCGCATATGTATAACTATAACTGAGTGGATACACTGTTGAAGCTCTTAAGTGCCCAGGCACCTGATGAATATGAGGTCAATAAGTAGGAGGAAATTAGCTAACCACATCAGGCGATGGCCTCGTTGCTTTTGTGTAGGCAACCGACAGAGTGACTTTCAGTAAAGATTTTTCCGAAATGCAGTTTTGTCAGCTACTTGAACACAAGTCTATATGTTTTGCATACGGCTCACACCCTTGCAATGTAACATTTCACTATAAAACTAGTCTATTTCTCCCTCTACACTAAGGTTAAAGAGGAAAATGATTGAATGTGTTGCTCCCTACACTAATTTAGTTGTATTAACCCTAATTGACAGGTTTTTGACGAAATCATAAAATGGCTACCTGTTCATTCAACACTTGTAGGAAGGTGTATATTATTTGGTTTCGATTCCCTAGGCACTAGGTAACATAGATCAAAACTATTTATAACCACGCAGATGTATTTACTGCTTGTCATCTTTCAGATTTTCAAGATCTTCACAGTTTCTCTTTCATAATTTTCACCTTTAAACTCATCTTTTCTTGATCTTAGTACTACTACATTTCCATTGCTTTTGCTTACTTGTGCGATTTACGAAGTATGGTAACTTAAACTGATGCACTTTTAGCTCCAGTTTGCTTATTTGTGGTGAACATAAGGGAATATATCTTTAATGACAAGAAACAAGTTTTTCAGGTGTTTACTTTATGTTAGTAATCATCACTCATTAAAGAAATGGCAAAGCAATCATCAGTGAGAATGTAGGTGTTGATAGTGTTTACGAACATCAGTAACGTCTTCCACAAGGTCTGATATTTTTAATCCCGGAACTTACGCTGCAGAGTGTTAATGGAGTCCTATTTTGCGGAAGTTAGTATAGGGACACAAATGAAGGTAGAATTTTCAGCTCCTTTTACTTAACACTGTGATGCTATGCTACTGGATGAACACCCTATTTGCTTTGTAGGCTGTTTCATATATATTTATCCACTAGTTCAGAAGTCATCAAAAATACCCATTGTAAATAATGCTACAACTATCCGTATCACTTAATATATTTTCCCCATTATGAGTAAGAGCAATCGTTTTTGCAGTAGTCCTAGACTTTTGACTTCATCCCAAATAGAAAGTCCTAGTATTTCAGATTTTGACAAAAAAAATCCGATTCTAAACTTCGACACTTTTTAGTAGTACATGGAAATCCTACTTATCAAACATCTTTTTGACTATATTAGCCTTTTATTTTCCTTGCTTTCTATTCTTGATGTTTCGGAACGGTTCTGGATCTTTGAGGGATTTCAGCACAATCAATCCCCCGGCTGCTAAAGCTCTGATGTGCGTCGGTGGCACAGGGTTTAGGACACTCGCCCACCATGCACATGGTCCAGAGTTCGATCCCCGGCTGACACCTGACATGAATGGTTGGCCTGCTAAATTTGGGCTACTAATATTACATACCAAAAATTCCATACTTGTACCAAAATTCTGTGTGGAACCGAGCTATAATAAAAAAAAATAGGAAATATATTAGTTTATGTTGGGAGGAATATATAACTAACTGATGTTAACTTCCAAATTTCGCTTTGCTGGGCAATGCTCCAATTAGGTAAATCAATACCCTGGAGAATATTGTGCAAAGCGAATGGAAATGGAATAGAGAGAATGAGTCAATAAAGTAAATGAAACGTTGAACAAGAGGACTGAGCAGAGTAGAGAAAACTGTGAGAGTACGTATATATAAAAACAACAAAACAAGTGACAGGAATGGATAAAAAATTTAAACTACAGTAGCGAAGTAGGTAAAAGAAGCTGGGACATATTTATTAGCAGTAAAACCCAGTTGATTCCCCTAAGGACGTTGGCAAACCTTTCATTTTTGCTCAGTAGTGTAGGTTTCTTTTGAAGTCATGAACTGGTGGGGCGGTTGGAACTTAAGTTCCTAGTGGATTTTTTAAGTAACAAACGTTGAGGGGGAATAAATAAGACTCTAAATTTGTTATTAGTTATTTGTGGTCTGGTAAGTGGTGATTTGGCAAGCCTTAAGCCAGCAGCGCCACGTGTAAAGGGAATTAATTCCTATGACCTTTTGTTAAAAGTTTTGTTGCGAAATCCCATAACTTCTGTCGCCTTTCAGTGCAACCTTTCCATAAGGTTGCTGTCTCTTTGAAGTATTTGTGACGGATGATATTAAGCGCCTTAGTCAGGTCGTGGGGCCTTAAAAACGAATTGAGGTGAACACAGCTAGCTGCCCGAAGCATAGGACCATATATATGCTGGCTAAGTCAGTCGAGTAGTTGTATCCAGTTTTTCGTTAGAGACGCCAAAGTTGTGCTCTGACGCTGCACAAAACAGGTTACTGAAACACAGGAATACGTCCCTCTGGGGTTTAGGGGTGCGTGGTTCGACCATATTCCATTGTTTGAGGTTAAAAAGCATTCTAATGACTTGTGCCCAGATTTCTAAAGTTTCCGAGTCCGCCACGGATTTATCTGGTCATTTTGAGCCTTTAATTGCCCAAGAAGTCTTTACATCGTCAGCATAAAAGACCGGACAATTCAGCTGACACAGAATATCACGGACGGAAATTAGTAACGTTAAGAATTAAAGAACAGAGGCGTGAGATTACAAGGGAGGAGGTGCACCAAGATGCAGGTTTGTTTACCGTCTCTATATAGTCCGTAAACCGTGGGAGGGACGAGCCACCAATGCCTGTTTTGTGAGGGGAAATGATATGTTAATCCAATCTTCCTCATTTTTTACGACTTTTCACAGGTTTGCACCGCGCTTTCAAGGAAGTTCTGGGAAGATAAGTCATCCAGCAGATTATTTATGAAAGTCAAAAATAACATTGGACCAAGAATCACTACTTGAGATACCACGCCCGCCGCCGTATTCGCTTCCAAGCTTACAAAATTTATGTCTAGTGACTAACGAATACTCTTTGTGCTGCAAATAGCACTTGCTGGTGAACTAATTAGTACATCACAGAGAGGATACTAGTCTGTATTGAACTTATTCTTGAAAAGCAGATGTGATGCTGAGAGACGTCAGTGTTCAGAGCTTACAATAGAGTTAAATTTAGTCTGAATTATGCGGCGATAGTGCGTTTGAATGCTAAGTGAATATTCCGTGTGCTTCAAAATACCTGCTGCACTGTCGTAATGCACGAAGTGCTTGAAAATTGCAATTGACGCTAACCTAGTGAGTTAAGCGATTAATCGAGAATGGGAGAGCTACAATGCCCCTTCAAAAAACCCAGTAAGACCTTTACTATTGATGGTATCGCTGAGTAAGCACAGTGTTAACCCAGTAGGCGTAACGTGGATAAACAGCCAGGCGTGTTATTTTATTCTCAATTTTAAGTTATTTTAGAATTTGCTTAATACAGAAAAGAGGATTGGTTAGGAATTAGCGAGCATTTTTAGGGCAACATTAACGAATAGACACTAGAGGTTTCGCTTTGGGCTGCCATAGTTTAGAGTCACCAGATTTACTTTCCAACAACTGACCTTGGACTCCAATGTAGCGGCACAAATGACTAGGTTGAGCTCCGATTTCAAGGCAGCCTGTAGACGGCTGTAGGTCATTTGATCAGCTGATGGATATTTGAGTTATTTTTGTAAAAAACGTCAAGGTTGGGTCATTTTTCGTTGTTTTACACACTTTTTTACATATATTCCAGCTAAAAGTTGATGAAATACGGCGTATTTAGCAGAAATAGGCAATGGTGGTGTCCTTGTCCTGCCGTAGCTTACAGGCAGTTTTCAGTGTGTTGAAAAAACGTACTTTTCCGTTCAGAATATGTCGAATTACTCGAAGACACATGTTATAATGACCATTTTGTGAATTTTTTGGCATTTTAATGGATTACTCATGGACATGATGAGGTGGGATAGCTCGTTTTGGTGATTGTTTCATTTACTTTGTTGTGTACTTTTCCTAATGCTGACAAGGCTCCTCCACATGTATTTCTTTAAGGACAAATCTGCGGAAATACTTAGAAATTATATGCGCATACTATTTCCTTATTTTATGGCATAAACTTGACGTTTGCAGGCAGATGTAATATCGATTTTGTATTATTGAAAAATGTTTACTGACATAATTATGTACGATTCAGCTAATTATTTCGTCATTTTAAACATATTTAATGGTTAATTATTGTGTTTACACTGAGAACAATGTCTACATCTGCATAATTCTTATGTTCTTTTTCAGATAATATCTACTTTCGGGAATTTCATGGATTTGGGTGATAAAGAAAAAGATACCTGCACTGTTGTCGATTTTGTATTACATGTTAATTCATTAATAAATGTATTCCTCGTTATTCGTTTGTTTATTCTACTTGATAAGGCCGAATATTAGCCCTTGCGTAATTTGTGAGGTATAGAGTATATATTGATCGTTCAATCTTCAACTACATTGATAATATTTTTTTTACTGACGTTACGCTGTTTAATGCTAATAGCTTCATCGAAGTATTATTAAACCAGAATTTACAAAATCTCAGCATGTATTTTTACGAAGTCTCTTTCGTTCGCATGGCACACTAGCCATGCTGCAACAACCCAGGATTTAGTGTTTTATAGTCTTCAGATTCATTGAGTTTTGCATGTCGTAAACTGTAGTCTCGTGAGAAGAGGCTTGTAGTAATTTATTGTAGTCGTAGTATTAGTATTTCAAGATGACCGAATTACAAGAATCCAAACAAAACACAGAGAGGGCAGAATTCAGGAATTTGTATTTAGCGGAATTATTATGCCATTCATATATGAAACATATTAACAGTCAACAGTAAGTATTTAAACAATACAGAGATAGAAATTGTCAATCACCACAAGGCTACACGCTTCATCACCTCCACAGCCAAGCAGTCAATCAGATTTTCAGCTTTATTTAGGTTGTCCGGAGACGATTTAGTATGTTTTTTAACAGGCAGGCTATTGGGCTTAAATCCGCCAGCTTGTTTTGAGTTACATCCAGTAGAGACTTAACCTGATCAATATCAGAACGGTTCTCCTTGATATTTGAGACTGGCAGTGTCATGCTATCAAAGTGGCCTAATTTTTCCTGAAGTTCACTTACTTGCCTCTGGATATCTTTCACAAGGCGGTTTAATTCACAGGATTCAGAGTTCTCTGATAGAAAAATTTTCACCTCTATCACAGGAGTGAGAAATGCATTCGAGCCATTTTGTGAACTAGCAGTTGATACCGTATTACAGGGCGGCAATGCAGTTATAACCAATGTTGAGCCAATATCCAAAACAATTGTGTCTCTACGAACACGTCTTTTATAAATTTCGACCAATAAAGTTGACCGGTATGTCGGTGGCAAAGCGGTTAGGACGCTCGCCGACCATGCACATGGTTCGGGGCTCGATCCCCAGCCGACGCACTCCTTTACCTCGCTAAGCTAGAAATAACGCTGGTAAAGAGGAAAGGTTGGGCATGGGGCTAGCAACCCCATCCTGTAAAATAAACACTGCTACAGAAACTTCAAGCCACTAGCTTGAAGCCGTATGTTCCACTGGGGAACCTGAAGGAAAAAAAGTTGACCAACTTGTGTCAGTCCGTCTTCGTTGGTGTTGTCATCCACAGTGAGAGGGTCATCCATACACCCATATGTCTTTTATAGACTTCGATCATAATTTTAGGGATTATATATTAATAAGCTATAAATGTATATAAGTGAAAACACGTGCAAAGACGACACCGATATAGAACGTATGCAAAAATATTATGCTATGCAGCCATTTTTAATATCGCATTACTTGTAATATAGACGTCGATTTCAAATTACGCCCCTCTGATTCCGACACATCTGAGTGGTCGCTGGAGGCGGTTTCGTTTTGGGCTGCCATAATTTACAGTCATCTCCTTCAGCCCTAGGCAACCATGACACCAAGACCCACAGGTCAGAATGTTAGCCCTTCGTCTATCTAGTCAATGGGATCGAGTTCAGTGGTTCTCGAATCTCGCCCTCAACAGACTCACGACATTTGGTCTCTCGCCCTTGTTAGAATGGAAGATCATCAAGTACTCGGCATAATTTAATTCCGATACAAATATTTCTAATGAATCTCATGCTATTGAGTATTCTGATTCCTTGTCGAGAAATTTTCCCAAAAAAATTCCCGTTCATCAAACTGGTAGTAAGGAATATGTCATTTAGCAGATATCCGTTACAAGCACCGCCGTTTCCGGAAATGCAGTATAGTGGGTAATTAGGTTGGTTTCGTCAGATATACCAAAAATGATACAAATTCGGAAACGAAACCTACAATCGGATCCAGACTTACACAACTTGGAGGCTCTGCGATTCTACTTATATTAATTCACGTTACAACATCAAGTGAATGAGAGTATAATAGTACTCAAAATAGGTGATTCACATGGTCACACCCCAAGCTTCATCCGATATCCGGACACAATCAAGACTAAACAATAATTACAATAACTGGAACTCACACAATTATTTAACACAAACATGTACAATCAATACACCAAATGCTGTGGATTCCAGCATGACAAACTACCCTTGAAGAACTGTAGGACTTACAGCAGTACGCCTACATTCCTTCTCAGGTTGATGATCCAAGTGGAAGTCGTCCGGACACAAACAGAATTACCAACAGCTACATGACAGGTGATATCAATTCAGTATATACAATATGAACATATGTACGAAATCACACACCAAGCACATTGGACTGCTCATTGATGCGCTACCCTTTGAAGAATTGTAGGACTTACAGCAGTACGCCTACAACCCTTCTCAGGTTGACGCTCTAGGTTGGAAAATCGTCGCAGAGTTCATTTGCTGACTTCCTTCTATCATCTATTTCCTAAACTCTTAATGGTTACACGCCAATGTCATTTTATCGTGGAATGTAGATGACTAACAAACATACGACAAATCTGATCAACCAAGCGTAGGCACAGAGTAATTTACACCAACGATAATATCATGGATTTGCCATACTCTGAGGAAACCATCAAGTGACACCACCAGACAAGCCATCGATTGGAACCCGAAAGGGAAGCGGCGAGTTGGTCGCCCAAGGGTGACTTGGAGGAGGTCATGTGGAGAGGAGATGAAAGCGTGCGGGCGGGCTTGCAGCATGGTGAAAAAGTTGACAGAAGACCGAAAGCAATGGAGACGCGCTGCTGAAGCCCTATGTTTCTCTAGGAATGAAAGGATATAACACTAACATTCAAATAGGAACTTGAGACTTGACAGGCCCTCATTCGTGCAAGTCAGTTTGACAATTACCCTCTCAAACACAGTTGGCTTATCCTCACTAAACGGACCATTGACGTTCGTGCTTTCAAACGGACCTATACTAGCATAGTCACAGCACAAGACACCTGAGTTCATGGACGTCCCTTTCACTGTGGATGACAACATCAACGACGACTGAGTGACACAAGTTGATTAACTTGGCGATGTATCAGAATCTGTTATTGTTCGGCTTTTAGAAGTTTGTCTAACTGCAAGATTACCACCAAAGCGGTCTTCTGTGATTAGCTACAGTTTAGCGTTAACATCTGTTGATAGATGGGCTACACGTTGATCATTTGAACTGACGGTCTCATGAGTATCAATACCGCATTTGCTCTTAAATCTACTTCACGTTCAAGTTGTATAGAAACTTTGTTCAACTCAGCAGTAGTAGGCATTGCCCTCATCTCATCATGATCAACCAAAGACAAAAGCGCACTATCATGACCATTATCACAAATATCCAACTTACCTCCGTTTGTACAATCAACTTCATCATTTTCAAACTCCTTAATAACAACGTTAGATGATTTAGGCTCTTCCTCACAAATCCTTAAATGTTTCATGCCTTCTCTCTGACTAGTAATACCTAGTAAACTTGTAGAGTCAGAACTGCACTCTGAAACTGTAACTCTCTTCTCCTGCACAAACTTTTGTGTCGTCTGTGATACTTTGTTCAACAATGGCTCACCAGTTGCAACTACAGGCTTCTTCATTGCACGATCAACGTCACACATTTGGGAGTCAGAACTTGATTTCACATTTAGGTTACCACTAAACTTGCTCACTGATTCAGAGTTCGCCTTTGTATGCACCTCTTGCAAACGTGTAAAACACAACCGTGTTTGTCTTGCATCTTGTAACCTATCAGTTGAGGATGTACTACGAAACCTGTTACACTCACTAGGTCTATATGCATTACTAGACATCATGGAGCTTTCTCGATATCCACCTCTCTGAGGCCTACTCGTCATCAATGATTGCATTTTACCCTCAGACTGCTCTATTCTAGGGGTGAGATGTAATAGACTGGCGAACTTGCTCATAGATTGATTGACATTAGTATTTACCAGTTTCAGAATATCATCGAACTTCGGCTCAATACCTCCATCCTCTATACGAACGCTTATCTTCATCCATTTCCTTTGCAGTCGAGTAGGTAGGCGTCTCGCTGTTACCTCTAGGGCTGAACTTGAGTTGAGGTCGCTCATGCAATTAATCGAAATCAACGTATTCTTGTAAGTCATCAGATTATCCAGAAACTCAGAGAGTGACTTGGAGTCACCTTGTAATTGACTACCATTACCTTTGACAGCCTCGAATAATTTCCTTACAATCATCGAAGGTCTTCCTAATTTTTGACGCGGTATAATCATAGCTTCAGAGTGTTCTTCTTTCGGCTTGATAAACTTACAGCACTGTTTAGCTCTTGCAGCATCTCCAGTGCAGTACCTCATCAAATACATCAACTTCATTTCATCATTTAATAAAAAACCACCCAACGTAATCTCAAACTCTTTGATAAACTGTTGATAGTCGGTAGGGTTTCCATCAAGATACCGGGACTCGAATTTAGGTAACTTTTAACCCTGCGAATTATGAACAACAGAGTCATCATGCTGAGCATCAAATACATCGTTACGTGTAACAGACAAGTTAAAATGACTTACTTTCTTGTTTGCTTCCAAGACGCCCTGTCCCTTCTTTGACCAAGGCATCACTGAACTTGACCGAAAATCCAGAAAACTTCCAGATAACACTTGTTAAAAGAAGACAGGCAGACACAAGGAAAGACGAACAGAAACTATCAGAAACTGTCAGCCAACTCCCATAAACTGTCAATGTCCAGCTCTTACTATGCTGGACCACACACTGTCCCTGGAAGACTTTCAGAAACAATTCGTAATAACCAACGCGAAAAACAAGAACACGGATTGGTGACTTGAGGATCCTTTATTCTTACGCCAATATGTTATGACAATAAATCACGATAGTACTTCTGATAGTTTTTTATCTTCCACCGAACAGCGTATGATGAG